CCCCAAAACCCCAAAACCCCAAAACCCCTTTATTGCTCACAACCATTGAGCAATTTCTTTTAATCATAGTTCATATCAACTCCAAACATGAGTCTAAAGAGTCTCATAACTCCATCTCCGCCTGCTCACAGAATAGAATCTCCAATTGGAGAAATGTCGCAGGTGTATCATGCCCTTGAAAAATCACCAATGACGCCAATTGGCTCTCTACTTTCATTGAAAATTCTGATTTCATTTGTCACTCCTCCGCCACCAGCTAGAATATATTCTTTATTCGTATCTGTGTGCGTAAAGAATTTTCATCAGAAAACTTTAGTCTCTTCTCTATCTTTAAAATGACCAGTTCCATTCCAACTAATTGTCTCTAGAAGGTCAGTTGATTCTAGATCCCATATTTGTAGCTGTTTGTCAAGCCTATTGCTACCACTTAGAATCTTTTTGTCGGAGAAGTCTAAAGCTTCACCAGAAATATCAGCTCCAATAATGGAGTTGACTGGTCCTTTCTCCCTTATATCGTAGATAATGATAGTATTATCCCATCCTCCTGATATAAGGATATTTGGATCCTGCTTGTTAAACTTGACACAGAATATTCTTGCACTATGGCCTGCATGTCCTGACTTAAAAGGGTCTAACTCCTGTACTCATTTCATAGCGATGTCATCATAAATTCTGACAATCTTATCCAGTCCTGCTGAGGCAAACTGCCTTCCATTACTGTTGTAATCAATACTGAAGATACTGTTTGCTTCATCTCCTGTCCATTCAATCTTTTCAGTAAGATTTCCTTCGGCTACATCATATTTAATGATACTCCCAGCCATATCACCAGTTAGGACAACGCTTTCGTGATCTGTTGCTTCTCCTCCAGGTCTGAATCTCAGGACTGAAGTAATGGGGTCTTCATTTGACTCTGACTCTTTCTTAATAGTCTTTACGAGACCTCCTCCATGAGGATCAAAGCATTTGATAGATCCATTGGCGTATCACCCAATTACATATTGATCAAAGGGATCCAGCACAGCTGAAAGACAGGGAGATGAAGTGTCTCCCATGATAGATCTCTGGAAGAAGCTGCAGTTTGCATTATGATCTGTTTCTATTTTATACTCCTCACTTAGCTCAGGAAGATCTTCCTTTGCAGTCTCGAATTCATCAAACATTTTTAGAGAATTTTATTAAAATCAATGAAGAAGTTGTCTAAAGGGGTTTTGGGGTTTTGGGGTTTTGGGGTTTTGGGGTTTTGGGG